TGTATATATATTCAAGATGGATCAGTTTAGAAGGCTTCTTAGCGTCAGTTTCTCACCTTCGAAAGCCTGTGAAACAGTCAGTATATTCATTTTGAGACAAATATATATTTATATTCGACATGACATCGTATAAGAAAAGGTTTCGTTCCATATAATAGATTTGAATATGATAATTTTTTTTAATTCTTCATCTGCCGTTAATGGTGACGATAAATGAAAACAAAACATCGCTAAATGATATTTTTTTATACTAACTAATTCATCGCCTAATTCTTTCCACCTTTCATTAAATTTTACTGAAGACGAATATTTTAACTTTAAATATGTTAAATATATTAAACATTTGTCATAATGATTAGTTTCATCGTATATTAAACATTTGTAAAACAAATCTTTCATATGCAGTTTCGCTTGTTTATAGCATAATAATGATATAATTGCATAAGTACTATCAATCTTCAGTGATAATCGTTGATATTCTTTTTCCTTCTCCCTTCTCTATCCAAAACTGACTATTATTTTTTCGAAATAATTTCGTTATTATATCCATACACGTATATGCTAATGAGTATTCTTTTTGTTCACATATCATAATTATCATGTCGAGTCAACGTGTAACATTATTTAATCTTCCATAATAATAACATAATAATGGTTGAGAATATTTATTAATAGAATAAAATCGATTTCCCAATTCATTAAAATATTCATTTAAATGTTCATCATTATTGTAACATTGTTGTAATAAACCAAGAAAAATATTAATATTGTTATAGTTTTCATTCAAAACCATATGATTAATATGATTTTTAATAAGTTCTGTTTCAACTTCATTTTTGTTAATAATACATTTTTGACAGATTAAAACTGGTTGTAATGTATAACCTAAATGTGGAATCTTTTTTAATATCAAACAATCAGTACAATACAGCATACCACACATTCGACAATTATTTGTCCACCAATAATTGACTAGTGTAACGGTTTTTTTACAAAGATGACAATTATCAGATATATTCAATACAGGTGGATTTGGGACAACAAAATACAATGAATCGAATATGAACACTTTCATACCGTTTGATAATCTTTTATCTTTAATTATTGTCAATAATAAACTTTTTACAAATGACATTTTTTGTTGTTTTTTTTCTTCATTATTAATTTGTTGCGTTAACTGACCTATTATTTTCTGTTCCCGTAAAAGTTTTATGTATTTTATTTTTAATAATTCTGATATTAATAGTTCATCGTCTTTATGGTAAATATGCCATGTATTAGATGTATTTAATAATTGTTCGGATTTTGTAATTGTATGTGTAATATTTTTCCATTCTTTATTTGATAGTAAACAGGGTAATAATGATGACGATAACAACGCTGGTTTCCAAGTCCAAATCGAATTTTGTATAAGACTCTGCAATTGTTGATTTAGATAATTGTTTCTAGTAATATGATTGTTATCACTTGATTGAAATAAATTACGATATGGTTTGATTATTTCATCTTCATGTTTTTCTATTGATAGATACAACTGATTGCATACTTGATATATGATGTATTGATTAGTGCTGTTATTTGTATTTAGAACTGAATCAAAGTTTATTTTTATATTATCGGTAATTGAAACCAGCTCACTTGTAAAATTATCAATAATTTTTATATCATCAAATTGTTGAACCCAATAATCTAGTTTTTGTCTGCACATATCCGACCATTTCTGGCCTATGTGTAACGATTTCAAGTCAGTTGAAAGTACATCTTCCTCAGTATCATCATCATTATAAGATAAAATATGTTTATTACGTGTTGCTTCATTCGATAATGTTTCATAGGCTTTATGTATGAGTTTAAACATTTTGTCCGCATTTGGATTTGCATTTTTATCGGGATGAAATAATAATGCTTTTTTACGATAAGCTTTTTTTATTTCCGTTATTGTAGATGTTGGATCAATATGAAGAATTTCATAAAGACTTTTTTTATCGTCTTCTAATTCCATATTTTGCTGATAATAATAGGAAACACGACTATTGATTCTATTCATGAAAAATAAAACATCTTACATACATTACAAATATGTGTCCTGCTGTTGAGAAAAGTAGTAATTATGTGTTTTTCCTCCTCGAATGTCAATATGTCGCTAATTTACGTTCAACTGGCGTCAGGTGTCACTACTCTACTATTCTACACGGACGGACGGACATTTCGTTTGTATGACCCAAGACTTTCAGTCAAGGGAATAAAGCATATCCAACAGTCTGTGATTGCAGATCGCCACGAAGTTGGTGCCAGCAGATAAAATATGTAAAATTTAGTTTCGGACATTTTCGGTTCGAGAGCCAGATTTGTGAAATGCTTTCTTCACGGTGAAAAGTGTTAATTATCAAAAATTAGCGTTTTCCTCGCTAATTTCCTCTTTTAACTGATGGTATTTCCGATCATCGTTAACTTTTCGTTGGCAGCCGATTCACTAACGTGTTTCAAAAATTTGAAACACACTCAGTCGTGTTCAGAATTGATTTTTCTATCAAAATAAAAAATTAAAACACAATTCTGTATTTTTTCTATGTCAAAAACTGCAAAACGGCGATCAATACAGTTTTTTGGACACTTCTACCTAATATTATGGGAAAACAAAGTTTTTTTCCCATGAGTGAAATACATGGCTCGACTCAGTATTTTACGCGTCTTCCGAATACGACCTCGAAATCTGAAAAGAAGTTGTCGAACATGGTTAAAAGCTGAAAATATATGAGCGAATCGTAACTTTTTTGTACAATTGTAATTTTACGATATTTTTTCAGTAACTTCTGTCATTGCCCACCGGTTTCGAAATTTTTTTTTTCGTTTACTCGCTGATGACGGTTCCACTACCACAAAAAAATTCGTTGCGAAATCTGATCAACCCGCAAAATTGTACCCATTCAAAGCCGAAAAATCTCATTTTCCGGATTATTCACACTATACAAATGGATTTTCCAAAGATAGAGCAGAAAGGAAAAAAAAGTAAATAGGCCAATTTGTAGAACTTTTATTTCTGTATCGATCTATGTTACTCATATTTTCCCGTCCTTTACTTTTTTAATCATTCTAGGTCGAAAATACATTTGCACCCAAAAGTGTCATTTTGTGTAGAGCGAGCGGCACAAAGCGCTTTCCAGCTCAGCGCAGCAGCAAGCTGGAAAATCGAGAGTGGTCTAGAATGACAGAGCTCGGGGCGAGTAACAAAATGGTGTAACTCTAATTTACGGTTTTGCATTCTAGGTTTTTGAAGAATGTTCACACTTTTAAAAAAAATCAGTTTTCACTCAATGTGTAGAGCGACATTCTGCAAATCGAATGACGAATAACTCCTAGCGGGCACATCGAAACTTTCTGAAACTAATAGCGCGAATAGAGCATTAAAAGGTGCATTAGCACCAAAAATTTTGAGGCTGACTGATAATTGCTGATGTTAGAATTTTACGATGTTCTGCGAAATGTAGAGCGACAATTTTTGCTCAATTTTCTCAGAATTCTTCGCTTGGGTCTGCGCTTACCATACATCAATAGATTCGTCTGCTCATGAGCAAGCGATTTGTAGTGCTCCTAGGTTCTGGAAAGAAAACTTTATGGAGAAGATTTGTGGAGTGACACGGCCAAGTTACTAAAAACTAAATTTTAGATTCGAATAGCTAGTAGCAGTATTATGACCTTTGTGATAGACTTCGACGTCATACGAGGCTGAGAACCGTGGCTTTTTCTATTTTTCTATAGTTGTTTTGTAACACATTTAGCAGGCAATGTGGTATTAATGAAGCAAATTTCGGCCGAAACACAAAACGCTATTATTGATAAAATATGTGAAATTAAATCTCTGACACTTTTTATTCAGGGCTCGCAGATCTAGGATGTCTTGCTGTTAAAAAAAGTAGTAATTATGTGTTTTTCCTCCTCGAATGTCCATATGTCCCTAATTTACGTTCAACTGGCGTCAGGTGTCACTACTCTACTATTCTACACGGACGGACGGACATTTCGTTTGTATGACCCAAGACTTTCAGTCAAGGGAATAAAGCATATCCAACAGTCTGTGATTG